TATGTGTGTGTGTGTGTTTTTGTGTGTCTGTGTGTAGGCGGGTGGGGTTGGTTTTATGTGAAATTGATGATGGGATGAATTTGGGGTATGAGGGTTGTAGCATTTATATAGATAGGAAAAAGTTATTAAATGTATTCAGATTTGATAAAGAGTATGATATTGTCTTTTAAAATGTGTAGATTTAGTGTAAATATATCATTATTGTCTGATTGTATATTTGCTGGTCAAGATTGTAGAAATGTAAAATAGAAAGGTTAAAGCTGGATTATATTTGAAAGATTTATTTTGGCAATAAGTTCAATATATTATATATTGAAGATATGTTGGGATAAAAAAAGGAAATGTCTTTTATTTTTATATATAGGCCCGAAGATAGCGGATTGAGGATAAATTAGCGAATTGAACTTAATTGAGAGGTTTGACCCGTCAAATCCGCTATTGAGTTTGTTTGGTAAATAACTTATTTGATAAGCTTTTTAGGCCCAAAACTCTAATTTAGAAAAAGCTCGTTAGAGGAGCTTTTTGTAAGGATGGCAGCGGTTCGGGTTCGGATCGGATGGAACCTCAGGGCACCCAAAACCAAAACCCAAATTTAAAAACCAAAACCAAAACCAAAACTGTTTCGGGTGAAAATCCTTCACCAAAACCAAAACACGCGGATACCCAAAAACCAAACGGATACCCAAAAAACCAAAAATATTATAATAAAACACCAAAGACAACAACATAAAACATGATAACTTAGAGAGTACCAGGCAAGCAGTCACAAATTAGCAAGTACCAACGTACAGTACAAGCCATAAAGGTAGTCGAGTACATAGCTAAGCCAAGCCATCACGGGAGATGGGGAGAGGATAAGAGGGAGAGGAAATTTCCACTTATATAGCTAGGGTTTTTGGTGGGCTTTTTGATGGGCCGTCTATTTTGGGCACCCAACGGAGCACCACGGGCGAAATATAGGATCCGCACCAAAACCGAAGACTTTCGGGTACCCGAAACCGCAAAACCGTGGGTGAAATTTGAGAACCAAAACCGAAAACCGCAGAACCAAAAACCGCGGATATCCGAACCGAAACCGAACCGCTGCCATCCCTAGCTTTTTGGGGATAGAGGATTCACAATCTACAATTTTAATTTAGAACTTTTTAATTTTTATTATTTATTTTACAATTTACATTGGTTTATGATGCTAACAAATAATAATATGTCTTCCATACGATTAATTTATCTAGAAAAATGTAAAATTCATAACTTCTTAATCAAATGTTAGTAATTTTTTTAAAAAAATATATATATATATATTTATAAATTACCAACTAAAAAATATTAAATATTTTAATATATTATTATTAAAATAATACACCCTAAATAATAAAATGTCTTTATTGGTAATTTACAATGTCAAACAACTATAAACTTTCAGCTATTTACCAAACACTTATTTAAAAACCGCTAATGCAATCCGCTAGTCAAATCAGCTAATATAATCCGCTATCCACTATCCGCTAATACAATCCGCTATCCGCTATCCGCTGATCACCAAACAAGGCCATATTCATATATTTCGAATTATATATATAGGAAATATTTGCATAATTTTATGGTGATATTCTATTGTAGGAAAGCAGATATACATGGACGATGATGAAGCATACAAGGAAAGGAGATCTTCAAGTGAGAGAAGAAGAATCCTACACTTATAATGTTACTTTGGATAAACTTGGAAGGAAATAAAAAAGAAATCTCATATTTGGAGAAGACTCCAAGCTAAGGAGTTGTATATATACTTTGTTTGAAGATCGAAAAAAAAGCTGATGAAATCATTATCTTCCATTCAATATTCGAGCTTTAAGTTTTTTCAATTTTATTTTTGTTGTTCAGTTTTCGGTGTAATTACGCCATCGAAGAACTGAATACTTTTTTTTTTCATTCAAACACTTTTGTGATCGGTACTTAGGGATTAAGTACAGATTTAGCTCGACGGATTCGAGAGATAGAAGTCCACGGGACGTGGCCAGAGAAGTAGTTGGCAGATTCGAGTATAGTTGTTAGTTATAGACTAGAAGGGAGTTCTAGTTGCTGTAATTAAAAAACTATACAAGTGTGCACAATCGAGTTATCAATGAAAGAGCTCTGATGAGTAGTGAGACGCTCCGTGAAGAGTTTTATATTTTGTTGTGCTTCCCCTATTTTCAACTTTTCTAGAGTTGCAACATAGTTTATTATAATCCGTATTCTAACACAAGTTGAGCGCCTTAAACTCTAAATGTATACTTTTCAATGTTATTACTATTTTTAATTTATGTAGATTTCAAAGTTTTGCTATGGAACCAACTGTTGGCTCTATAATGAAACCAACCTCTTATACTTATTAAGTAATAAAATGTCACTAGTACAACACCCGTGTATTACACGGGTGCTTGTTAAAAAATTATTCTTAAATTTTAAAATTAATGAGAAAACTATATTAAATTTAGTTTACTTTTTTACAAAAAATAAAAAAATAAAAATATATTACTATATATTTTAGAATGATATGTGTTACTTATGACTTACATGTGTTATATTATATTAGTTTTTATAACTTATATCATATAACTACTTTAAATATAAATATATTAGTTGATAAATGATTTTATTTTTCTAATTAATATTAAAAATAATTTTATTATTGTTATAAAGATAAATATAAATTATTTTTTTTATACATACAATATGGATGTTAAATCGAAGCTCATCAAA